TGTAAGATGAATATCGGGATAGTATTAGGAAACAAAAGGTATACCATTATGTATCCAAAATCTATCTTTTATCTTACTCTAATACTGATATCCATTAGTTTACTATTATTCTTTTCCAATATGCATATCGGGTAAATAACAGGTTAATAAAGATATATTCTGTTATTTAACCTTTATTCATATATTCGACCTGTGCTAACTCTATCTAACCCTAATCTAATTTTAATCTAACCCTAATCTAACTCTAATCTAAAATCATAAAATCGCTAATAACCCAAAATTTTACTAGAATAATTCTCTGTTGTATAATTAAACAAAAATATTTCTCTTGCAATTTTACATACTTTTATTAACTTTAATCTAATTTTAAGTTTTATTATAGGCTAAATTTTTGCTAGGGAGCACAAAGTACATGGGGTACTTTTTAGATTTTCTTTTTATAGTATTAAGCAAATTATTCTGAAAGTCTTTTTATATAATATATGAAAATTTATTTTATTTAAAATAAAATTTAACAATTTAAATATTCTTAATTTTTTTGTTTTTTTAATTTTCCTATACTTATTTGATATTATAATGTAATAAATCTAATATTTTTGAATAAATTTGATTTAGAGAGCTAACAGAAAAGAGCTTATTATAAAGCCTCCTCTCTCCTTCTTTCTTTTCCTCTTTAGAACAATTACAAGTTCTAAAGTAATTAATTAATCTCTTGCATTTTTATGCACCCTTGCATAATTATGCAGGTTTGTATATAAATATGCATATTTGTGTATAAACCTGCATTAGTGGTCATACCCAGATAACTCTTTATCCAAAAGGGTATACCTTTTAATAAAATCCAATAACCGGTTTTATATCTTATTGAAGTAAAAGGATAATGGTTATACCCTAGGTTATATCAGGATATCATGTGATTAGTTTATTTACATAGATTATTGGCCAATCAATTATAGGATTAAATAAAAATACTAAAAAAACTGTAAATCTGCAACATATATAGAAGACCAATTATTTATATTAGTTGATTAATTTGCAGACAAGTTCATTTATAAACAGTATATTTCACTAACAGTACATTTCATAGACAAATTATTTTTTAGTCAATGTCACTAAGATTAGCACAATTTGAAAAATAACTTATTAGTGAAATGAGCTATTAGCAAATACTGTCTGTCTATGAAATGAACTTGTATACAGTTATTAATTTGATATACAACATACTGATATTGTTGTTGTGACTATACTTTACCTTATATTATCCTAGGTTATCTCTTAAAATAACCAGATGTTCTAATTGTATAACCTGTAGTCAATTTTATAGTCTGGTTATCCGGATAACCTAACAGTTAACTGGTTATGATACCTTAGGGTACGAGCACTAACCTGTATAATTATACAAGAAGTACATAAAAATATGCAAGAGGTTAATTGATTACTTTAAAACTTGTAATTGTTTTAAAGAGAGGAGGAGAGGGAAGAAGGAGGAAGACTCTATAATAAGCTCTTTTCTGTCAGCTTCCTTAAATATTTTTAAAATAATTATAAAGTAATTTTAGTTTTCATTAATATCAAGGCTAATAATAAGTCACTAGCTTTTTTCAAATTATTTTTAATTTATTTGATTTTTTAAAATATTTCAAAATATTGTGTAATAATTTCAAGCATAATATTTCACAATATCTTTCTTTCACAATATTTCAAACTATTTACATAATATTATAGTTTTTTTACAATTTGTAAATTATTTCAAAATATTACGCCTTTTTAAGTTTGCTAATATAAAATACAGAAAATGACATATACTGGCTAACATGTTCCAAAAATCAATACAACTTAAAACACATGTTTTAATCTTTCTTGAATCCTTCACTAACAAACAAAAAATTAAAATCCACTTACCTCACAGTTTTGTACAAGCTTGTGTTAACAACCACATTATTATCTCAATCTTAATAGGCATTATTATACAATCAATATTATTTCCATTACAATCTCCATCAACTTCCAACCATTATGCAGTTTGTCTACATTATGCTATAACAGAAGAAATCTACAAAAAACTTTAGTTACAAAGCAGAATTGACCTGCATATTGTACAAATAATACCAATATCACAAAAACCTATTAACAATTCACCCCCATTAAATGAAAACTCAAAACATAGCTTACTTTCTACTTGGTTAAAAGCATATATAGATCACAGTATACTTCCTAATTCCCTATTAGAATAACAGTCTAGAGGCCTTTCCCCCAAATACATATGTAAACCATACAAACTTCTTTGTAATTAAATAATAAAGAAATCGAGAAAAAACCTCTTTTTTTTAAAAAAAAAACCCTCAATTTTAGATCTATTAAAAACGATACTATTGAGTCCGTAGACTTTCCGTAAGCTCTGTCCGTAGAATTTCTGCATTTGTTTTCCAACTATCACGTGACAGTAAAACCAGTTCAATCCTAGGTCCAGTTAAAATTTAACATAGCTTAGCTTTTTATATTTGGGGACCCCCACAGCAAAAGGAGGCAGTGGGCAAAAAAAAATTTTTTTTAAAAAACTCAATTTCTTAAATTAAAGTATTAGAGATACAATTTTTATTAAATTACAAAATCAAAATTTTTTGCCCACTGCCTTCTTTTGCTGTGGGAGTTCCCATTTATTGTTTTGCAATATTACAAAAAACGAAAAGTAAATATACGCGAAAATAAATTTTATATTTTACAATTACGAGTTATATACATATAAAATTGTAAGGAAAATATATTTGCCACTAAAGTCAAATGCACTATATGTCTTACTATCTATAAATCTAATCTAATAACTATGATTAAGTCCAAGAATGTTATGAAACGCAAACAAACTCAACTATAAACCCATGTCTTTTGTCGCGATGAGCTTATACTTGCCAAGCTAAGCAGTTAATAATAAAGATTATTTAAATATGTAAAGTCTAGCAAACATACATATTTCATTATTCCGGTTACCTTTTTTAATCTCAGTTGATCGTCTACACTATTTATGTGTAGTAATTTCGTATAAACCAATAAACGGTGGTTATATTTTGTTTTCTAAACAAAGTTTTTCAGGAGTCTGTTTCTTGTTTGATTCTTTTGCACAGTGAATATTGAACTTCGTTGAAGCTAATAAACGGTGTTTGTGGTGACTTTATTAGTAGAATGTTTGTGTTTCTGAAAAGTACTTTAAAGCGTATAAATAAATTACCCAATCAGGCGAATGTCCTCGAACGATAAATTCCATAAATTATCTAAGCCTCCGGAGTTTAATTACGAACCAGTTTGTCTATGGTGTCGTAGGAATTTTTTTTTCCAGTAGGAGGAGAACCATTCGTAGGAGAAAGAAGTCTTGCCATAGGAATTTTTCTTTTTCCCACCCACAGAAGAACCCACAGAAAGAGTTGCCCACAAGAGGAGCCACCCGTAAGAGAAGAACTCACAGGAAGAGTCGTCCATAGGAAGAGCCACACGTAGGAGAAAGAACCACCAAAGGAAGAACCAACCGTAGGAGAAAGTTTTGGCATAGGAATTTTTTTATCCAACCCGCAAGAGAACCTACAGAAAGGAACACCCGCCAAAAGGAAGAACCACCCGTAGAAGAAGTTTTGCCATAGGAGTTTTTTTTTTCACTCGCAGGAGAATTCACAGGAAGAGCCGCCCGTTGGAGAAAGTTTTGAGAACCCGCAGGAAGAGTCGCTCACAAGAAGAACAATCCGTAGGAGAAAGTTTTGCCACCTGTAGAAAAAAGTTGTCATAGGAATTTTTTTTTCTCCACCAGCGGGAGAACCCGCAGAGAAGAATCTCTCACAAGAAGAGACAAGAGCCAAGTTTTGTCAGGAGTTTTTTTTCCCCACCTGCAGGAGAACCCACGGGAAGAATCACTCACAAGAAGAGACAAGAGCCAAGTTTTGTCAAGAATTTTTTTCCCCACCTGCAGGAGGAGATCCCGCGGGAGAACCCACGGGAAGTTTTGTCAGGAATTTTTTATCCCGAGGAGAACCCGGGGAGAACCCACGGGAAGTTTTGTCAGGAATTTTTTATCCCGAGGAGAACCCGGGGAGAACCCACGGGAAGTTTTGT